CTAGGTTCTTCTTAATGAAAAAAATATTAAGGGTAGAGAGCATAGTCCGTCACTCTCTGTGTGCTTGATAGCCCTGATTTCCAAGGATGCATTATAAATTAGCCTTTGGGTCAGTTTTCCCTTACTGTTTTAGACATATTCTTTCATTATTAATTTAGAGTGTTGAGGTGATGAGTTGGGTGTGAATTAACCATGCTTATATGCTGTTTTGCTTTATATGTGATCTGGAATTCAATCCAATCATTACATTTCTGTCCATCATTAACCCATGAATCAAGAGTTGACTTCATAGAATTTTGGTTGAAGAGTTAACTGCTTCCAAACCATAGAGATGATGTCTCTCTATGACTTCAAATACTAGTTTCAAGTATCAAAGAATGTCCAGGCAAGCCAAGATGTCCTTAAACAATAGAGGTTAGTCCACTGTGGTAGCTGTCTTGCGGTTCTTTGCCTTGACTGGAAGTTTTAAAGCTGGAGCCAGAACCAAGATGTTAATGTCTCCTTCAGAAAAACCTTGAGTACAAATTAGTCCATTTGGTGAAGGCTTGCAAAATGTCCTAGAGTCTTGAACATATTTAAGTGCTATAAATGGTGAAATTTGCAGTTCATTAAATATGAGGAAGTGATTTAAATAATAACCCCAAACTTCAAACTCACTGTTATTTTCTTTTCCCACCTTCAATTTCCAGCCAGGAAAGAGTGTCATAGGAAAAACAATCTTGTGGTTCAGCTCCCTGTTGCAAAAGAAGTACATTCAAGTTATCTTAAGCTCATTCCTTCAAATGAGTGTCTAACTGATTCTTAAAGACCTCTGAGGGAGGTTCCATAAACTCCTTTGGTAAACTCTAACAATGTTTCAATAACCTTGCAGTTCAGAAGTGGTTCCTGATATTTAGATTGAACTTCCTTGCTGATGTCTGAATATTATCAATGAATTTCATTTTGTGCATATTAGAGATGGAATATCTTTTTTTTTTAAATTTTATTTAGTTATTTTTCAAGCACAGTTCCCTGTCCACTTCCCCCATAGAGATGGAATATCTATGTTGAGACTCTGTGAGATGTACTTAATACTTCTGCATTTGCTGAGTTATTTCTTAGAAGAGATGTTCTTTCTCTTATTCTCTCCAACATGTATGAAAAACTCTTAAATTGATTTATTTAGGATTCTTGTTAAATAAGTTATATTTGTGATATGTATTCTTTATATAGTGGTAACATTTGTGGTGGGGTATTTGTTTAGAAGGATCTGTGTTCACTTTTTATTGTGATTTTAAAATTTTATTTATTTATTTTTACAGAGGGGAAGGGTGGGAGAAAGAGAGGGAGAGAAACATCAGTGTGTGGTTGCCTCTTGTGTGCCCCCTACTGTGGACCTGGCCTGCAACCCAGGCATGTGCCCTGACTGGGAATCGAACCAGTGACCCTTTGGTTCACAGGCCAGCATTCAATCCACTGAGCCACACCAGCCAGGGTTTTTATTGCGATTTTTGTAATGATTTTTTTGTTATGACTGTGAATGATAGGGGTTATTCAGAAAGGCCTATTTTATCCTAAATGTTCTAGTTCTGCTTCTTAGACTATAAATAGTGCAGATAAGATTTGGACAAGTCTGTGAACTTTCCATTGACTTTATTAGAACAGTGTTTTCCACTGGTTATTCCTGAGGGGCACGGTCAGATCTGATACAAGATTGGCTCAACATAAATACCAAATATACTGAATAAACATGAGAGCGAAAGACAGAATATGAGAAATGACAGAAGCTTGCAGGCTTAAAATAAAGTTTTTGGATTCATACCATAGTTGCCCATCGAATTTGTATATGTCTTTTGGATGAATTTATTCATTCTTGAGGTTTTATATATCAGTTTCATGTTACAGATTTCTAGATTTCTGTTTTTGCCTTAATTCCTCTCCTGAGAGTGTCTTTCCTTTTATTTTTATGAGTAGTCCATACTCAACCCATCCAAAACTGAATCCTCCACTCAAACCTGCCCTTTCTTATGGTAGTGAATGGTACCATCATTCACCTATTCAGTTGCTAAAGAGACCTTTTTTCCATTTCATATGCTTATGTCAGTTAGAACTAGGTGTTACTCTAAGTTACAAAAAGTTCTAATTAGCAGTGGCTTAGATAAAAGCTTATTCTAACTATACATAAAAATCTGGGTTGGTACCTGAGGACTAATATGGTGCTCAATAACATGAGGGACAAAGTTTCCTTATATCTTTTTGCCTTGTCATAGGAGGTGGCACTTAAGTTCCAGGCAGCAAGCTGGAGGAAGGAAGAAAAAAAAAGCAAAGGGCACGTATGCTCTTTCTCATCTGAAAGACTCTCAGGAGCTGCTACATAAACACTTCTGCTTACCATGGCATTGACCTGAATTTAGTCATGTGACTTTACCTAGCTGCAGAGAGAAAGTGGAAGCTGTGGTCTCCATTCTGGGAAGCCATATGCCAAGCCCCAAATTAGAGAGTCTATCACCATTGAAAAGGGGGAAAAAGGATATCGGGGACAACATTTTGGATTCCCAAACATCCATGAACACACTTTTGTTAATTCATAGAACACTATCAGCTCCTCCATAAGGAAGATAACCCCTCAAGTCCATCAAGTTACTCATCCAACTCAAAGTTCTTGACTCTAGACACGCCTCATGTTCTCTATCAAGGCCAGCTATCTCGTGGTTTGATAACCTATCAACTAAAAGACATTCTATATGCCCCATAAGCCCTCAAAATCAAATCTAATTGTAGATTAGATTTTGGAGTAGACAAGGAGTAGAATAACTGCTGTAAAGTCTCCCATTGAGAAGAGAAGGGAATGAGAAATATACAGCAGTCACTATCCATAGCAGTGATCAAGTTTTGCTGGACAGGAATGATGAAGACTCTCTTCTCTGCATTAGAAAGGCTCCTTGACTAGTCTATGTGGTAGCTCCTCACTGTGCTGTGAGAGGAATTGCCTAGTCATTTTTTTGTGACTCCTGACGTTGTCCTTTGGGAGGTTCTTTTCAACTTCATCCTCCTCCATGGCTGCATTAGAATACATGTTCCTTGAGGATGCAAATCTTTTATAGTCTATGCTTTGTGAGCAGGGGAAGTCATGGAAAGATAGATAGGGATGAATTTTCCTAGAAAAGAATTAAAAGTGATAGAGAAGAGACAATCATGGTACTCCTGGAATCATCAAAATTTAAGAGTTTGCTAGAGAATGAGGACCTAACAAAGAAGGGAGAGAGAAACTGTTCAGGAATAGGAGAACCACAAAATGTGATGTTGCATAAGCCACAAGAAGAGAAAGTTTAAAGAAAGACGTGTCTCAAAATAAATGCTTCAGTGTGGCCAATGAATATACAAATTGAAGCTTTATAAGGTTTGGTAATTAGGAGCCATTTGAGACCTTAAAAAGCAGGAGCAGTTTCAGTGGAGAGCTGGTGGGAAGAACACCTGCCTGGAGTGGGTGTAGGAGGTTGAGGAGGAGACAGAGATAGTAACTTTGCACATGGTTATAAAGGGAAGGGGAGGCAAGAGGGAGAATCAGGGAGTTGAGATTTATGCAAATTCTCAGGTTTTTTTTAAGGAGGTAGAATTTCAACTTGCAGGAAAATCGAAAAGATGTCATCTATATTTTACTCTGTCTCCTCTCTTAGAGCTTGATCAGTTTATGTGCTTCATTATGGCAGGTAGCAATGACTGGGAATTTAGTTTTGTTTATTTGTTTTTTCCTTGCAAGGTAGGTGGAAGAGTTGAAGAGGAGAGCTTTGGCCAAAGCTCAGGAAATTTACTGTGGAGGAAAAGAGAAAGGCTTTGGTACCCAGAAATATTTATTGAAGAGCAGTACTTTGCAACAAGACTAATTAAACCTAACTATTTATTGTGTGTAAGACACTGTGCTTCTCACCAATATTATGTGCATTCCATAAAAGAAGAAATTACCTTGATAATTCAAACTTGACTGCAGTCAAGTTTAATGAAATCACTGTCATTTAAGTCCCTAATAGAATGATTCATGCAGGAAAAGTCTCTTAGGATTTGGTAGCATTTACTGTGTCTTTCATGAGAACCTTCCCTTGTCTCTTTTTAGATGGTAATACTAGATGACATCCTTAGACATCTCCTGTGTGCCACACACTATGCCAAACACTTCATCTATATTTTCTCAGGATATTCTCACACTGTGTCTTTGAAGAAAGTGCTGTCACATTTCTATTGGTGAGGTTAAATAACAGATTATTAAACATTCCTCTCTTTTTAGCTGCCATGATGCTTAGAGCAAGGTTTAAAACTCAGTCATAACAATTGCACTTACCTCTCCTTTCTTTTTTAAGAGTAAAAGACATTTATTTTGCCTTCGGTTATAATCAAAATTATTTTAAAAATATATTTTATTGATTATGCTATTACAGTTGTCCCAGTTTTTTTTCTCTCTTTTATTCCCCTCCACCTTGCACACCCCCCTCCAACCAGCATTCCTTCCCATCTCAGTTCATGTCCATGGGTCATGCATATTAGTTCTTTAGCTTCCCCATTTCCTATACTATTCTTAACCTCCCCCTGTTTATTTTGTACCTACCATATATATATATATATATATATATATATATATATATATATATATATATTCATGTTATTTTCTCCTCTAAACTTCTTTCATCCTTAAAAATAGTTGTATATGTTCTAAGAGGTGTGAGGTGGTATCTCATTGTAGTTTTAATTTGTGTTTCCCTAATAGCTAGTGATGTCGAGCATCTTTTCATATATCTGTTGGCCATTAGTATGTTTTCTTGGGTGTTGGAGAGTTTGTGGAGAAAAGGAACCCTCATTCATTGCTGGTAGGAATCTAAGGGGGTACAGCTATTATGGAAAACAGTATGGAGATTCATCAACAAATTTAGAGTCATCATTTGATCCTGCAACCCCTCTCCTGTGTGTCTACCTGAAAAATTAAAAGCATTTGTTTGCAAAGATATATATATATCCCTATGTTCATTGCAGCATTATTCACAGTGGCCAAGAAATGGAAATCACTGAAATGTGCTTCAGTTGATGATTGGATAAAGGATATGTGGTATGTATGCATATACAATGGAATACTACTCAGACATAAGAAAAGAAGAAAAACTGCCATTTGTGGCAAATGGATGATCTGGAGGATATTGTACTAAGGGAAATAAGTCAGACATAAAAAGTCAATAGCCATATGATTTCATTCATATGTGAAATATAAAACTGAAAACAACAGATGTATGAACAAGACCCCCCCAAAAAAAAACTCATAGGCAAAGACACCAGTATGGTGGTTACCAGGTAAATGGGGGGTGGAAGGTAGTAAAAGGCAAAGGGGGTCAAATGCATGGTGACAGAAGATTTAACTTTGGGTGGTGAGCAAACAATGCAATATACAGATGATGTACTATAGAATTGTACACTCAAAACCCATACAATTTTATTAACCGATGTAACTCCAAAAAATTAATTTAAAAAGCTTGAAAATGGCTCATCACATTTTTCAGTTGTTGCACCTCATATTCTTGTTTACACTATTGATGCAATTAGCTAACAGCTTTTGTAGAATGTGACAGAAAGTAAAATAAAGATCAACATATGTCAAAATAGTTTTGTACATCATTATGTAGTGATCAAACATATTTTAAAAGAGAAAGATGGTGCAAAATAATTGAGTTTTACATTTATTGCACTCATGTAGTGGCATTCTATTACAAATATGAATCAAGTTCCTAATTTGGATCTTAGGCTTTTGATGTTTTTACTACTCAAATGGTGGTACAAACATCTGTTATAACTTATGTTCCTTTTGGTCAAGTTTATTTATCTCTTTATACACTTAGTAACATTTGGAATCATATTAGATATTTTACATATATGTTTTGGGAGAGAACTAAAAAAATATGAATATTTAAAAGGCAAAAGATTTATATGATCTGAAGAGAAACCAGGGTATGAAAAATATGAATATTTAAAGTGCAGTTTGGAGCCACTTCTTAACAGGATAGCTATCTGAGTAGCCTTTTTACTTCCCATCTCTACTCTTTGTAGCTAGAGAAAAACAGGGAGGAGCCTATCTATTGATTACAAGAAAATAAATTTTTGCAATATAGGTCTCTTACATTTGGACATTTATTATTAAAATGGATAAGAAAAACATACCCATGAGGTTCCATACTATAGAAGTCCTTTGCAGTTATTTCCTTAAGATTCACATTCACTGGGTGGAGCACTCCTGATTATAAGGAAAGGTAGACAGCAGTATAATTATGTGGCTAGCATCAGCTAGAATTACAGTTGCTGGTTGAGTAGACCAAAGTCAAATGGGCTGGGTTACAAGGATATAGCATAGGTGGACAGAGCTAGGAAGATATCCAACTGGAGATTCCTTCTTTAGTGAGTGAACTGAATGCAAAATGTTGTGTCCTGGATAGATGTGGGTAGTGAATAGAAATGGCTTGATGATTCAGATCTTCAATCAGGATACTTGGCTAAAGTCATTTCCTAGGACTGGAGAGGGGATAAAATAATGGTGATTGTGCAGTAGTGGGCTGAGTCTACAGGGAGAGGATCCAAAAAGAATAAACAAAAGGCATAATGAGAGAAATAATAGGAAATGAAAAGAATCACCATTATAGCCCAGGTTCTGAAAACTAATCAAGGTATTAGTATATATATGTGATTTTTGTTGGAGTGACATAGGAAAGGAGAAACTCAAACTGAGATGTTTTACTGTATCTTGATACCTAATGAAGACCCTATAAATCTCTTCAGTTGATGGAACATTTTTCATTTGATTTAGATAGGCTAAGTAAACCATATACTTGATGATTTTACTATACATTATGGTGTCATCTAGTTAAAGAAAAGCTGATCAATGAAGACAAAACAACAGAAATAACCCTCTTCCCCTCCCCCTGACACTGAGGATCATCTCAGTTCCGTTGAGCTTCTCCTTGTGTCTCATAATGAGGCAAGAAAGCTGGAGAAACAGATACTTTGGAAGATTCTTTCATAGGTCTGTTGAGAGATGACTAAGCTAGAAATAAGTATGTCAGAATCAGGCTGATGTAGAAGTGATGTCAGAAATATGATTATGGACACGGCACTTTGCCTTCTTTGATGGAGCCAGGCTAGACATGTTGATGAAGCAAACTCCTCTTACTATAATCTCTTTCCCAACTAGAGCTCCTTAGATTCTTGTTGAACTCTGAATTGAGAGTAGGGATCTCCTCACAAAGAGAGAGGACAGTTCATAGTCTGCCATGACTATAGAGTAAGATGCTTAGAAGATGAATAATATGATAGAAGGCCTTTGGCTAAGTAAGGGCGGAGGGGGTAGTAGAGCTAGGGAGGGGCTCTGGGGCTGACAGCTGAAGGATAGTAGGTCCCCAGCTTTCCTGTTGGCATGGTGCATATGTCCACTGTCACTACCACATTGCCTGTGATTTCTGCTGGCCTTCCTAAAGACAAAACATGACATCAAACCAAATTGAAATGTAAGAAGAAGAAAAAATTAGATCAAATTCTCTACAAGATGCAAACCAAATAAGGATTGTATAAAAAATTGAGATAAAGGATTTTACATATGAGATAAAGGATTAAACAAAGAAAAAGTTAAAAAACAAAAATGACAATTTTATAGAATTTATTGATTAAAAATGGATAAACACTTAAAAATAATGAAAGTTAAGGAAAATGACCAAGTCACAATATTTTTAAATAAAGCTAATAAAAAACAATAGAAAAAAAGGTGACAGAAGAGCTTATAAGAAAAAAATGATTAAATATAAAAAAAGTGTGATTTATTTATTATTTTTTGATTTAATCGTCATTGTATTTTTCTGTTACCATTTAGTTCCCTGATATCCCGCTCCCACCAGCAATCACCACACTGTTGTCCATGCCTATAAATCCTTTTTCCTTTTTGCTCAATCCCTCCACCCCCAATGGCTCCCCCACTAGCTGTCAGCTACCCTCCATCTATGAGTCTGTCTAAAAAGTGTGATTTAAAATGAAAGATAAAAAAGACAAAAGTAAAAGGAAGTAGGAGGGTAAGAAAGATGGATGGTAAACATACAAAGGAAAAGTTAAGTAGCATAACTGAGCAACAAGCTAAAACAATGCTTAGCTGTGGAGATGTTTTTCAAGACAAAATATAACCTGAATAAGAAGTCAACTGACCAATCAACTATATGCCAGCAAGTGGCAGGAATCCTTAGCAGAATTCTGAGTAGGAAACAATTTTACATAGTGTGGGGCCCCATTTAATAAAGTCCCTAATGGCTGCAGAGGAGGAAGAGAGTGAGGAGGAGTGTATACTCTTAGTCTCCTGCCCTTGGGCATACCTTGGGCACCAGAATCCAAGTCAGAATTTCTCAGCAATTAGGAGAGTGGGGCCATGGCCCTGGGGACCCACTGCCGCAGTTGTGTGTGGGCTCCTGGACCCTGCACATTCCACTGTGAATTTAGGTAAAGCAGATGGAGTTAATCCCTCTTGATTATCCAAAGTTTGGGAAGGAAGCATTAGTTTATGTAATTTCAAATAATTTATATTTGACCCATGGATGTGTGGGTTTCTTAATTAAAAAATTTCCCACATTCCTCCTCTTATTTCTCCCTAGAGATCATTGCTGTTAACACTTTCCTGTGTTTCATTCTTGAACTCTTTATATGGAGTTGCAACACTTATACATAGAGTTGTATAGGATTTTGTATGTAGTAATAATTATAGCTAGCATGTAGTCAATGTTTACAATATGCTAAGTACTAGAAATAGACTACACTGTATTATCGCTTTCTTTGTGTTAACTCATCTAACGCCTGCTTCATTGTTGTTTTGATATTACAGATGTAGAAATTGAGGCAAGTGAGGTTAAAGAACTTGTCCAAGGCCACCCTGCAAATACAAGTGAAACCAGGATGTACAGTTCCAGTTTCCATTCTTAAGCATCATGATTTTCTGCCTTACTAATTGGGATCGTGTTGTATCAATTTTCTACAACTTATTTTTATTCTTAACAGTAAGTATCTCATGGAATATACATTCGTAGCAACATATCAAATCCAAAATCTATGTATGTGAATATCCATCTATTTCATTCTTTAAATTGCTGCATAGTATTTTCTGTATTTCAGATTTAATTATTCTCCATCTATCAGTATTTGGGTAGTTTTCAATATTCAGTACTGAGCAGTTTTATTATCTTTAAAAGCTATTTATTGAGTACCCTCTATGCTCAAGTCAATCTTCTTGATATTAAGGAATCAACAGTTAACAAAAAAGACAAACCTTTTGATACCATGGGTTTATTTTGTGGGAGAAATAATCATCAAATAAATGTACCACCTACACCAAAACATGGCAGCTTGTGATAAGGGTAATGAAGTGGAATAGAACAGAATGAAGGGATAGATGGTGAGGGGGTATCATTTTATATGGTGTGACAAGATGATCGATCATCTGTGTTCCTTCTCAGTTAAAAAAACTTTTACTTTTGAAATATTATAGTCTCAGTGGAAGTTGAAAAATAGTACAGGGGGTCCCATCTGCACTTTATCCAGCTTTTCCTGTGGTAAAAATCTTACATAACTATATTATCTTATCAAAATGAGGAAAGTGACATTGGTATAGTCTGCAGACCTTATTTAAATCCTACTAGTTTCTACATGCACTTGTGTGTGTGTATAGTTCTATGCAGTTTTATCACATGTATAAATTTGTATAACCAGCAATTATTTACTCTTACATTGCCATTTGAATAAAACCCAGGAGAAGTGAGGGGCTGAGCCAGGAAAATCTGGATGCAGAGTAGTTCAAGCAGAAGGCTACGTATGTGCCAAGGACCTGAGGCAGGTGGGGAGGGTGACCAGAAGGTAGTGGGGTGGGGGAGGGCCTCTAAGGCCATGGTGAGGACTGGTTTTTGCTCTCAGTGAGATGTATAGCTGTTGGAAGGTTCTGAGTAGAGGGTGACAGAATCAGACTTCTGTTTTATTTGGATCACTCTGGCTGCAGTGTGAAAGCAAGTAGATCAGTCAGGGGTGTGAGTTACAGTGCTTTCCTTTCTTCCTTAGTTTGCTGTCATTTGATATGCTGCAGGGATATCAAATTGTCATCCACCCAATTGTCAATTCTGGGCCAGATAACTGGCTCTGGCTCAGTGGAATGTGTGCAGACATGGTCTATCACGATTCTTAAATCAGACTGCATAGTTCAGCTCAGCCCTTTGGTTCTTCTTTCTGCGGTGAGGAAAGCAGATGGGGATAGCAGAATTCTGGCTGGATTCTGACATGAAAAGACATGTGAAGGAGAACCACAGCCTATAGCAGATCTTCATTCCATGTGTATAACATGGTGGGAAATAGATGCTTATTACTATAAGCTGTTAAGATATTGTACCCTGGCTGGTGTAGCTCAGTGGATTGAGTGCTGCTTAAGAACCAAAGGGTTGCTGGTTTGATTCCCAGTCTAGGGCACATGCCTGCATTCTGGGCCAGGCCCCCAGTAGGGGGCACATGAGAGGTAACCACACACTGATGTTTCTCTCCCTCTCTTTCTCTAAAAAAATAAATAAAATCTTTAAAAAAATATTGGGGTTGTTTGTTAGTGCAGTGAAGTTGACTAACACAGAAGTCCTAGGTGTCCTTCCTCCATGGAGGATCAGCTGTGCAGGGACAGGGTGCTGGTGCTCTGATGTGGTCTGTAGCTGTCTGCAGGGTATGCAGATTCTGGGGTTTTTCAGGTGGTTCAGGCCAAGGTCAGCCCCGACCTGGGTTCTGCCTGGGGCCACCCTGCATGAGCTAGAAAGCAATCTGAGATGGCTGCTGCTTGTGCTGGGCTTGGAGGTTTCCAGGCAAAGCCAAGCTGTGAACCTGGGCAGGCTGCTGCTAGTGCGGGGTCTGGGGCCACTTAGCAGGAGGTGTGGGAGCTAGGGGCTTGCTGAGGCTGGCTGTTGCTGATATGAGAGAATTTAGGAAGTTGTAAGGCATGAGCCAAGACCAGACATTCACATAAAAAAGCCACTGTCAACTTGGCTGGGCCCGTAAGTTATGTGGGATGAAGCCTGGGGGGATCTCCAGGGTGGGGCAAATTGTGTTAGCCCGGTTAATGGAGTCTCAGATATGGCATCTGCCTGCCAGCTCTGTAGCTCTGTGAGGGGAGGGTTCAGAAAAGGGACAGTTGCCTCCTTTACCTTTCTGTCTGGGAGAAAGCTGTCCCCCAGCTCTCACCTGATGCTAGACATTTCTTCTCTGTATATGCCACTGGTACCTTTCAAGCTGCTACCTTGGTACACAAAATGCTCTGAAGCAATAAAATGAACTAACTAAGAGCTTCAAAATAATTAATACAAAACTCATGGAAATCTATAGGAAAGAATAAATAAAGGCAAAAGACATCTTCCTTCAGGATTTTGCTCTGATTCTGTATCTCCTAAATTATCCATTACAATCATATACATATTATAAACTAAAATTAAAATATCACTTTCAAAGTAAAAAATATGAAAGTTCCAATGATTTGACATTATTTGTAAATCTGTGATACAGGGTGAATTAGGTATTCTGAGTAAAAATAAAATGCTTGTATGGACACAGTGGATTACATATTCTTCTAGTCTAGCCCTCCTCTGATTCATTTTTGGTACTGCTTCCAATGAGACTTTCCTTTTAAATACGATCATTCAAATCTTTTATATCAGGGGCGTCAAACTCATTTTCACCAGGGGCCACATCAGTCTCACAGTTGCCTTCAATGGGCCAAATGTAATTTCAACTCCTTTACAGTTAAAGAGTAGGTATATTTATACAGTCCTAAAATTATTTTGGATGTATTTGACCGAGTCCTTCATGATTCAGTAGAAGCACCATCTCTTGTGGGAAAATTTCTCATACCCTCTGCTCTCTGCTGTGGACGGGCTAGGTGCCCTCCCTCCTTTGTGCTTTCTTGTTACTCTGCATATGTCCAGGGACCATTCATCATATAGCATTGTAGTGATTTGTTTGTTTCTCTAGCCTTTTCTCAAAACTGAGTTATTTGAGCACAGGATTGGCACGGATGGGCCACATTACGTAAATGATAGTAACATTGTGTATAATCAACTTTTTTGAGAAGCTGTGTTACATAGAAGTGAGGTAATAGTTGGAGGGACATGGAAGTTATTACACACATTTATTGGTTAATAGAAATGATCAAAAGAGCATGAAAATTTGATATTTACTGATGTGCATTTCTTGCTCTTGCCACCAGAAACCATGGAGATTATTTTTTCCAATATAAGTTTCCCATGTTAGCTAGCTTTTTTCCTTTAAAAGTTAGGAGAAATGCAATGTTATCTATACAATCTTGTGTATTCCTTACTATTATATTGAAATGGAGGTATTTTACAGAGAGAGAAGCAAATGGACTAAGTGTATCAAGTAACTTTTTTGAAGGTCATAAAGCTTAAAAAACATCAGGTGTGGGATGCACCTCAAATCTTTTTATACCTCTGTGACTACAGGGGGTGACCTAGTGACTTGTATACTGTAGTCAGAGCATTCTCAGCAGTGGTTTACTCACAAGAAGCTTAAGATGTTTCAAGTGGTAGCTCACAGAAATTCACTTAGGACATATTCTTTTAAATACTTACATTAGTCATCTGAACAAAAGGGATCAAAGTGATTTTTAAAAATCAAATTTTCACCAAGAAAGTAATTTAATGATTTATATTTGAAATTCAGAATGATGGTGACAGTAAGGAAAATGATTCTTTAAAATTAGAGCTAGGTGCTTTGTGGGGGAAAAGAACCCCCAAAACAACGGAAACATTAAGCATTAAGGTAGTATTTTCAGGCATAAGGGAAAAAGAAATAGATCTGAAGAATCTATTTTAACAGATGCTTAATAAATAGTATAATGATATTTTGGTAAAAGGAAACTTGATTCTTTAGTGTAGTAAATGGGGCATTGAATGTAGGGTTCAGGAAGTGATTCTTTTAAAATAATTTTATTTAGTTATTTTTCAAGTACAGTTTTTGTCTATTTTTCCCATCCCAGCCCCACCCCGTGCTCCCCACCTCCCTCCCATTTCCACCCCCCTTAGTTCTTGTCCCTGTGTCTTTCATATTTGTTCCCCCCTTAAATTCCCTTCCCTCTCCCCTCTGGTCACTGTCCCCTTGTTCTCTATTTTAGTGTCTTTGTTTTTATTCTGCTTGCTTGTTCGTTTTGTTGTTTAGCTTCCTGTTAAAGGTGAGATCATATGCTATTTGCCTTTCAACATCTGGCTTATTTCACTCAGCATAATGCTTTCCAGTTCCATCCATGTTGTTGCAAAGGGTAGTAGCTCCTTCTTTCTCTCTGCTGCATAGAATTCCATTGTGTATATGTACCACAATTTTTTGATTCATTCATTTACTGACAGGCACCTACGTTGCTTGCAACTTTTGGCTATTGTAAATTATGCTGCTATGAACATTGTGGGGCATAGGTTCTTTGAAATTGATGTTTTAGGATTCTTAAGATATAATCCTAGCAGTGGAACTGCTGGGTCAAAAGGCAGGTCAATTTTTATTTTTCTGAGAAAATTCCATACTTTTTTCCACAATGGTTGTACCAGTCTGCAATCCCACCAACAGTGAACTAAGGTCCCCTTTTCTTCACAACCTCTCCAACATTTGTTGTTTGTTGCTTTGGCTATTATAGCCATCCTGACTGGTGTAAAGTGGTATCTCATTGTGGTTTTAATTTGCATCTCTCTGATAGCTAACGATATTGAGCATCTCTTCATGTGTCTCTGGATATTCTGTATGTCCTCCTTGGAGAAATGTCTGTACAAGTCTTTTTCCCATTTTTTAATTGGGTTAGATGTCTTCTTAGAGTAGAGTCTTGTAAGTTCTTTGTGTATTTTGTAGATTAAACCTTTGTCTGAGGTATCATTGGCAAATATGTTTTCCCATACAGTTGGTTGTATTTTTAATTTAATACTGTTTTCTTTAGCCACGCAGAAGATTTTTATTTTGACGAGATCTCATTTGTTTATTCTTT